GTTAGATTTCAGTAATAATGATGCGTTCCCCAAAATGAATTATTGGGATTTTATTGATCATCCATTACAATAATACAATAACTCAGTCAGGTGTTATATTATAACATACTACACTACCATACCTAATTATTTATTATCTATGCTGTATCCAGTTTCCTTTCATGTTAAGCGATATACTGCTTAAAAATTTCATGTTAAACATGCAAAATGCAACAATAATTGATTGCTGACTCATGGGACCAAACATGTGTTTTATGTAAAACGATATTTCGCATTATGCGGTTTCATGTTAGTGAGGTTCAACTGTATACGAAAAAGGTTTGAATGGAAAACATTTTTATTTCTGTTATCAGTTCGGAAAAGTAAGAAATTAACATTTTCTGTTGATAATTCTAACCTATTATATTTAAAAAGCATGGCATGAGCGATTGTGGACTAAGTTATCTTTATCCTAACAAAAGTTTTTCTACTGTTTTTCGAAAGATTTTTCACTCTTTCTAAGGAAGGCACTTTTTGTTGACCACATATATAGACCACAGAGTACATAACACATAATAGTAGGAAATCTTATTTTCCTATTATTAAAATCAACATTCACTGTTATTAACCTATTAACAAAAGGTATCATTTTTTCTTACCAAAACTTGTCACAATTTAAACATTCCTGTTGTTGACAGTTCTGCCATTCATAAAGTACAGAGCAAAATAATTTACTCTAAAATCTACAGGTAAAGGGGTTCAGGTGAGCATAAATTTCTCAAGGCCAAATATTTTTCCGAAGAATTTTTTTTCTCTTTTGGTTTCAAATTTCACCCAAAATTATAGTGCTAAGTTACAAAAGCTTTTCCAAAATATTATTTTAATGTTTACATATTGTTAAAATATTTTGCTAATAATTTTCTTTAACAAAGAAAAAAAAATTCATTTGATTTTATGCAATTTTTGAATAAACTAACATATCATTAAAAAAAGAAATCGAAATATATTGAATTAGTAATAATTCATTGGACTAAATTTAAGGTCCAACTCATAAGCTGAATAAATTAAACTAATAAATAAACAATTTGAGATTTAAAGCTACGTTTAGCATAAAAGGAAATATTCTTTTAACATAACTGAAAACATTCTTTTACTTTCTTTTTTTTTCGGGAAAAATTGTTGGATATTAATTCCTTATTTTACTCTAAAATATTTTTTAGTGATACTTTTTTATTTAGACCAAAATTTTCCAAGTACAGCTTGAATTTCTCCCAACCTCATTTAAGTAATCAGACATATTCTGCTTCTCTTAAGGGCTATACTCTATGTGTGTATTTTAAATCAAAATAAAAGAAGTAAATATGTCTGTTGCATTTTTTAATCTTTTTATTGCTATTTTAGCATGAAATTAAATATTTTCTTATAGACAAACTCTCTGTAAACAATAATTTCCTCTGTTAATATGAATTGTCATTATAACAAATTTATACCGTTTTTCAATATATTTTAAATTTTTGAGCTATATTTAAACTCATTATATTTAAACCTGTAATGTTGCAGCTTTTCACATGGTTGCTATTCTGCATAGAAAAACTTGTTTTTTTTTTCAATAAAAGAAAGTGTTCTATCGCATAATTCTGTAGAAATTTCTTCTCCGACCCTAAATAATTATAACTGTTACAAGTATTCACAGGGCGTTTTAAATATTCTCCTCCTGTGGTTCTCTTAAGAAAATAAATTACTTAGGATACATCAGATTTGAACATTTATTATTACTATGAATTTACATTTTTTTCTTTTTGAGTTTTTGACCTAAAAATAATAAATTAGTATATTTTCTTCTTCAAATTTGATACTTTCTTTAACCTGGCTGTTTCCTCCTGAAATCAAACAGTTTGTTTACAACATTTTTTTTTACCTCAGTAGTGATTCATTCGAGTTTGGTGGTGTATTTTCCTTACATAAAAGTCCCCATCAAACAGAAAAATGAATTTTTTTTTCCTCTGTCCACCCATTGAAAATTATGTGTCCGGAATTTCCTTATTTATTCAATAATTAAAAGCTATTTTTTGACTGTTTTTTATTTCATTTTATTCATTGTAATATGTGTGATAACTTAATTGACGAATTTTATGTTTGTAAGTATTATTAAAAGTTTTTCAAAATTAAATTTTTAAAAATACTTTAAACTTTGAAATTCGTTAACTAAGATGGATAGAAAACATTTCAGTGAATAAAAAGAAACAAAAATTATTCAAAAATAGTTAGTAGTCACTGAATAAATAAGAAAATTCCTGACATATACGTAATTCTCCTTTGGTCATCATTGAGCAAGTAAAATCATTTTTCTACCTGATGGAGAACCTTAAATAATATCCTTGTGATTCCTTAGGAGTGTCCTGAAAGCTCTAAAAAATTTTAAAAATGCTCATTGCATTCACACTATTTTTAGAGTCTGTTCAAAAGAAATATTTATTTTTGTAAAATATTTGTATACAACTAAATATCCAAGTGAGGATAATTATAGACTTTTTGGTCTTTAAATTATCTGGAAAATTAACAGCTTCATTCCATTTACTTTGTAACAATTATGCAGTAAAAAAGTAGCAATATTAAAATAATTTCATTTTATTAATACAAAAAGTTTCTTCTTAAAAAATAACAATAAATTGGACTAGAACTTGGAAGCCTATTCTATCACACTTTCTTCTTCTTTGTGTCTTTCTTTGTTTCTTTCTGCTTCTTCTTATCTTTTCCTTGTCTTTTCTTTTGACTATTCATAAGTTTGCAAAAGCAGAAAACTAAAAGGAAAAGAAAAAAAAGATCTATGTATAATTTATTAGTTTTAACTTTGCAAAACTGTTTTATTTTGTAAGTACGTGTATTTTTATAAAATATAGTTTTTTGGTCATTTTATTATTATTATTTTGCCAAAATGGAACTTAGTGTAAACGTTTTGAGATAAAAAAGCATTAAGATACATTAGGACGCATTGAGAAGCAACATTAAGATAAAAATGCATAAAAAGCTTCTTTCAGTTTGCTCATCACAAGGTTGGTGTGATTTAAAACATGATTCACGATTTAAATCACTTAATTTTTTAGAAGAAAAAAAATCATTTATTTAATTCAACTGTAATTCTCTTAAAAACCCTGACTTAAAACAAAATGATTTTTAAAAAATATTAATCTAATTACAAAATATTTATGTGCAATATAATTAGTGTGTGAAGTTAGATTTCAGTAATAATGATGGTATTTTACTTAGAAATAATGAAATTGATATGCATGTAAATTAAAGTATTTATGTGCATATCCCTTTCATTATTTCATTAAAAAAGCACTGGTTTAATTCAAGTGTGATATTTTTAAATAATCAATTATTTAAACAAACTGATTTTTTAACTAATTGAAAACTTAGTTTAAAATATTTTCTAAACAATATAATAAATAAATTTTTTAGGGTGTGATTTTCGATTTCATTAGTAGTGAATGTTATTACTAAAAAATAATAAAAAGATGCTTGCAAACTTTTATATTTCCATGCTCATCTCTTTCATTATTTAATTTCCAAAAAAATTTAATTTAGCAGAGTTTTTTTTTTTAAATAATAATTTAAACGAATTGATTTTTTTAAAAAGCATTATATGAGAATAAAATATTTTTATATAATATAATTAATAAAAACATTACTTTGAGTATGATTTTTTAAAATCTTATTTCATTCATAATAAGATTATTTACGTAAGAATAATGAAAGGGATATGCAGGTAAATTAATGTATCTCAAAATAGACTAGATATAGTTTTAAAAAAGAAAAGGCTAATTGTGGAGAGAATATATTGTAATTTTCCATTATATGTATGTAAAATAGCTTGCAGGCAAAAAAATACTTCAATTATAATATCTATCTAGTTTTCATGCTTATTTAAAAGCAGTTTGTATATGTATCAAGACTTGTTCCATCCCAACTAACTTTTATTTTCTTTTTTTCTTTT